TGATTTGATATTACATATATAGATACTACATGTAGACCTTTCTCAGATTTGTTCATTTTGTGATGATATCTTCAGTTCTCTAATTTTGGTGAATATTTTTGTCATTTTTGGTAAAAAGTGATATTTTCGACTTCTTGTTGAAAACTGTAAGTCCGATTGCTTTGATATTACATATATAGGTACTACATGTGGACCTCTCTCAGATTTGTTTGTTTTGTGATGATATCTTCAATTCTCTATTTATTTTGGTCCGATTGCTTTGATACTATTCATATTGTTCATTTTCTAATGATGTCTTCAGTTCTTTAATTGAAATGTGCATTGCTAACAGCGGAGCTATCTCAGCCGATAGGCTGCTTGTTTAAAGAAAAAAATCACTATATCTAGAGAATTGATTGTTTCATCACCAAATGTTGTAGAACCACCTGAGGCAAATACATCACAAGTATCAAAGCATTCAGGCTGGTTGTTCAAGTGACCTCTCAGCTGTCTGTCATGTTTAAAATGTGACCATCCTTGATCCGATTTTGAAACAAATTGTCCTGGACATGTATCCTAACATGTATAAAGTATGTGCCAAATTTGAATGAAAACTGACAAAGCATGTCCAAAATTTTCAAAAAAAAACAAGATGCCTGCCAGTCGGCCATTTTGAATTGAATTGCTAAACCACTGCATGTGCTTATGTACCACATAAAGTACTAGACACATGCAAAGAATGAACAGAATCAATCCTAAGTATTCTGAAATATGACTTCGTTCGAACAGGGACTAAGTATGTTCTGTAGAATAAGATGTACCCAATTTCTGCTAGAATTTGATGAAATTTTACATAGCAAAGCCAAACATACCTTACCACCATTTAATATTTAATGAAACTCAATTGGCTTAATCATCCAAGTTTGTTCCGGGTTTGGAAATAAGCACCTCCTGTAAGCAACTTTGGAGGCCCTAGTGTTCCTAAGTGATCAATTCTAAAAAAAAGTATTTCCTCCTGCTTGATTTCCAACTCCCTGAAGTGCTTGTTTTTTAGAACTGAGGACATGTGGAAGGTAAAGCCCATTGAGTTCCATTTCAGTATTGAATGCAAGTAAGGTAGGTATGGTTAAGTGTAGTAAAATGAAAGTATGAATGGACACACAGACAGACTGAGCACAGACCAATTACAAACCTGAGCACATAGAAACAATTTTGTCTATAGATTTTTCGAAGTCTTCTTTTTCCAAAGAAAGAATCACTTCTGAGCTTTCATTATCGAAAAGTCTAATATACATAGCTGCCTTGGCTTCAATGAAAACCTGTCTTGAAAAACGGCCATTTCTTTCAGCTAAAAATTCATCCGAAGCCCGAGTTGAAATCATTTGTTCCAATTCTTGAACTGTTAGTTTGGTCGTTATTTTCTTGTCATTATCCACTTCTAGAATAATAATTTCTGCTATTTCTTCTTTTGAATAATTTGGAAAATTGAACACTAAGGAGACTCTACTCCTTAGCCCCCGATTTGCCATGAACACTTTGTTCATCTCCTTCTCGTAACCTGCAAGGATGATTATTGGGTCACCATCCTCCATGACCGACATTATCTCTTCCAGTGCTTCTTTGCCATGATCTTTTTCGCACCCTTCAACCACCAATCTGTAAGCTTCATCCACAAAGAGAATTCCTCCTTTACTTTTATTAATAACTTCTTTAGTTTTTATTGCAGATTCGCCAATATAAGCTCCGACCAGATCTGATCTTTGCACTTCTATTACTTTATTTTGATCAATTAGCCCCAGATCACTGAGAAGTTCTGGAAAATTCAAATATAGCATCATTAAACCCTTTTCCGCAGTTGAACAGCAAATCTATATAGTTATACTCCACAATAATAACTCACTGTAAATGACTCATTGCAATTTGTATCTAGCACACAAAAAATTTGTGGACAACAAAATTAAAAAAATTAGCCGAGACATTGTAGAAAAATAGTTGATCATATTACTCGTACTACAGTATTCAAATCTATATTTTTTTTACAAAAATTACCACCATTCTGTTAAAAGTCAATGAGATGAAACTGAAATGATACGCAAATGTTATTTATGATGCCAATGTTTTAGTATTGACAGAATTGGTCCTGTCATGTAATAACAAAACACATGACACAAGTCATTGAAAATGACACAGTCCCCGTTAAGTTCTCCTTGTGCTCGTCATATTAAAGCGGAGGGGTTGTCGCAAGCGTGTCCTTGAAACTTTAGTTCCAATTGGCGTATACAACAAATTGTTTATTTACATCAAAACACGTGTTTCGTGTCGTAGTAATATGGCCAAAATAAAAACAGCCGTTATTCGGCCACCTTTGATCTGATTATGAAACACACTGATATGTATGATGTATGTGCCAAATACGAATGAAAATGGTACATAAATTGTGGAAATATAGTAGTAAGGCCAAAAAGTCAGATGGCTGTCAATCAGCCATCCTTGACCAGATTTTGAAACAAATTGTCATGGACATGCATCCTAACAAGTATAAAGTACATGTATGTGCCAAATTTGAATGAAAACTGACAGAGCACGTCCAAGATACCGCATACAAAAACAAGATGCCTGCCAGTCGACCATCTACGATCCAATTGCGAAATAAATCGTATGGACATGTATCCTAACATGTATAATCTATGTACCAAGTTTGAATGACAACTGACAAAGCATGTCCAGAATACAACATATTCAAAAAACAATATGGCTGCCAGTCGGCCATTTTGAATCGAATCGCTAAACCACTGCATGTGCATATGTCCCACATAAAGTACTAGGCACATGAAAAGAATGAACGGAATCGGTCCAAGGGATTCTGAAATATGACTCCGGACGGACGCAGGGACACCGAATTATAAGTCCCGGTTTTCGGACTTCGTCCGAACGGGGACTAATAAACAAATTAATGCATCAACCAATACTATGTGTGTACTAACTAATTATGAAATATTCCTTCAAATTTTATTTTAACAAGTTACACATGTTTACAGTCAACATATACATTTTAGTAATGATAACATTTTATACCATAAACAACACCTGCTTGAATCCTAGCTATTGTTGTTTTTCCAGTACCTGGTCCACCTACAAATAACATATGTGGAACTCTAAAATCCATGTCACCATGCTTAACCTGCATATATGCAGTTTTGCTGAAATCAATCATGGCACTCTTTAAAACACCAAGTCCCACAAACTGCTTAAGTTTATTTTCCATATTCAACACAATAGATTTCTCAAGCTTCTTCAGTTTGCCTGATATTAAAAAGAATCATTTGAAATTAGTCACTCCCTTGCTCAAATACAAACTATACTTACAAGACAGAAATAACAAGTTTAGTAAAATTATAATTATACAAATGACTCACATATAATGTTACATGTCTAGTAACATTAGTTATGATTTACCTTCTGTATTTGTGCTAACGTTATTGTTACTAGTGCCATTTCTTAAATAGATTCAGAATTTAAACAGTAAGATAATATATTTTGTGTTCAAAATGGCTGCATTAATTAGTTGTGCAAACATATATAAATGTTCCAGACAAATGGGTCTCCAATTAGTCATTGTTTTTGGACATAATGTAAATTAGGACTAAATATAATATAACTAAACATGCCTCAGTAAAAGTATCAAATGAATACAAACCTCTATTATCTTTACTTGTTGATCCAAATTTTTCATGTGGTGTCAGACATGGTGGCAATTCTGATATATATTTACTGTGAAAATTAAAAGAAATATGTATTTAATTTAAATAAGTTTACAATGTAATTTTCTTATCAGTGAAAAAAGTACACATGTCAAATATGAAATAACTGCATGTGAAATCTTAGTAATTTGTATGTCATGAATATGCTGTCAAACTGTATGAGACATTCACATACTTACATTTCAGGAAGTTTTGGTTTCAATGAAGTATTACTGATAGGCTCTACAATAAAATAGAGAGAGATAGAGGTTATAGGTCATATTGTTAAAAATACTGACAAATGTTGGGAGACTAAAACTAGCGGTTGGTAGAACTCCACTATAATTGACAAGTGCACAGGGCAGTGGCAGTTACTAGGTGGATAGAAGAGGTGGTATCTATGACAGTTTAGTAATTGTGACAATGGTCACTGGTAGGGCATAAATGGAAACATATTTGTGTGTTTAATGCATGGTTATGTATAATTGATGATGTGGGTGTTACAGGAAATTGAAGCTGAAGTTGTTGTCACTATTACCAGAATATATCTTTAGCTTATTTGGTTACTGTACATGTGATTTAAGGTAGAGATGCAGATTCAAGGGCACTCATAGTGATTTTTTTTTTTGCTTTTTCTTACCTAGACAGTCTTGGCTAGATAGTGTTCAAATTGCGGAGCATTGTCAATGTTGGAACATACTCAAAAACATCAATTTTAAAATATAGGGAACCTAAGCACGCTTATGTGATTAAAATTCCCAGAAAGTTTGTTTGCGTTGCTCTTTGATTGACAAGTCACTGTTGATGTTATATGCAAATGATTGCTGGCCTCAGTTACGGAGCAGCGGTGTGCAACTTCCTGTCCTGGCTCTCTGTTTACTTACCTCAAGCGTGATCAACTAGCAAACTACAAAAACACCAACAAGACGTAGACGCTTCCAGCATGCAAGCGTAATGAAACAAAACATACACTTGTAACTGATAAGTAAACTTTTTCACCCTTAAATAAATTGATTTTTCATTTATTTTCATGTAGGAGGTAGCATCGATAGGGCGATTTAATTTTTCCCGCAAAACAAGACGACATTTTTTTTTGTTTTCTTGGTACATAGATTTAAAGCTTTTTCCCATTGTGGAAGAATGACAAAGTTAGACAAATATGACAAAGTGACATGTGATCTTGAGATGACCCTGACCTGCAGCCTCAAGATGACCCTGACCCAACCTTGAAGATTTTGGGTAGGTGTTTTAGTCTATCCCACCCTTACTGTTCAGTATCACCCATATTAAAGCAGCAAACGTATAAATCTTGAAATGACCTTGACCTGAACTTTATCATTACTCAAAAACATTGGCCCAGCATCCAGTTACTGTCATCGCCATATTGTTCCGAACACCAAAACAGCAACATTGCCAGCTACATGTAAGTTACTGACTGTTTTGGTGTACGCGTCTAAAGATCGTTATCTTACTTGACCCCCTTGGATCAAACTAACACCAAAAGGAGACGTCGCACTCATTGCGAGGAACACACACAAATCAAGTGTTCTGGAAATCGATTCAAGGATTACACCCCCAATTTCAATGTATTTAAATATTCCGTGTACGTTGCTATATATTACAGTGAATGAGATATCAAAATATAAGACACTCTGTATGTACAGTGTCACACTAAAAGCGGCAACCCCCAAATTATAATGGAATGTTCTTTCTGTTGAAGTTTTGCGCACAAGTTTATTATTACATTGCGTTGTCCAATCGAGGAAATTTTTTTTTTTCGTAATTTTTTTTTCACGACTATTTTAATAATTTCACAATGCAAAAATCTAGATTCTTTGATCATACAACCCGGTCATATATAGTACGTCAGTGACTGAATGGATCTTTGCTGCGATATTTAGCCAATGAGACTGGGAGATCGATCAGTATTATACACAGCATAGTCGACTCGGAAAAACTCAGGGAAACGGGATCAACTCGCGCCTCTAAGTCGACCGGTCGCTCATGTACAAAGGGAATCACCGATGTAGTGGAATTTATTGAGTTTTTGAAGGCCAACAAAGCATCTAAGTCAGCTAGCGAAGTGAAAGGAAAGGAAAGCTGTTGGATGAGGGTATTTGTACACCCAACACACTGCCATCCACAAATCAAAGAAAGCTTAGAAAGAACTCCCATGTGCTGAGAGTATTGGAGACACATTAAATATAATTCGAAATTACTTAGCTGAAAACTAATTATGCAAATCAAAAAATTAATATGACCAGATTTGAGTGTAAAACTAATGAGGTCTGCGCAATGTAACAGAAAATCTATGTTTCCAAGTGTAATTGAAATGTGATTAGAACCAAAAAATTATGAATTATTATGCTTATTAGGGAATTAATATGAACAGATTTTTACCCCAAACTAATTAGGTTTGTATATTGTCCTAGAGCATCTTTGTACTAAGTTTCATTGAAATAGAATAATTAGTACTTTAGATATCAGTATGAAACTAATCAGGTCTCTGCATAGTCCTAAAGGATCTATGTACCAAGTTTCATTGAAATGCGATGATTAATACTTGAGATACCCGTGGAAAAGCTGAAAATTAACTAATTATGCAAATTAGTGATTAATATGCACAATTATTTATCGGAAACAATCAATCTCTGCATATTCCTTGAGTATGTAAGTACCAAGTTTCATTGAAATGTAATGCTCAATACTTATATCAAATGCTGAAAATTAATTAATTATGCAAATTAGTAAATAATCAATATGTACTGATATTACCATAAAAAACTATCAGTCTGTGCAGTGTCATATGACATCTATGTACCAAGTTTCATTGAAATGTCATGATCAGTACTTATATCAAATGCTAAAAATTAATTAATTATGCAAATTAGGTAATTAATATGTACTGATATTACCATAAAAACTATCAGGTCTGTGCAGTGTCAAATGACATCTATGTACCAAGTTTCATTGAAATGTGATGATTAGTACTTATATCAAATGCTGAAAATTAATTAATTATGCAAATTAGGTAATTAATATGAACTGATATTACCATAAAAACTATCAGGTCTGTGCAGTGTCATATGACATCTATGTACCAAGTTTCATTGAAATGTGATGATTAGTACTTGAGATATCAGTGGAAAACCCGAAAATTGACTAATCATTATGCAAATTAGGTAATTAGTATCCACGGATTATTACCAAAAACTAATCAAAACCTAGCATTAGTTCAGAGCATGTATGTACAAAGTTTCATCAAAATCAAATGAGTGGTTGTTTAGATATCAGTGGAACAATCATGGAACAGCTAAAAATCAGCTAATTATCATGCAAATTAGGTAATTAATATGCACAGATTTTTACCAAAAACTAATCAAATCTGCGCATATGTTCAGAGCATCTATGTACCAAGTTTCATCAAAATCCAATGAGTGGTTGTTTAGATATCAGTGGAACAATCATGGAACAGCTAAAAATCAGCTAATTATCATGCAAATTAGGTAATTAATATGCACGGATTTTTACCAAAAACTAATCAAATCTGCGCATATGTTCAGAGCATCTATGTACCAAGTTTCATCAAAATCCAATGAGTGGTTCTTTAGATATCAGTGGAACAGTCATAGAACAGCTAAAAATTAGCTAATTATCATTCAAATTAGGTAATTAACGAGCATGGATTTTTACAAAAATCTAATCAAATTTGCGCATTGGCCCAGAGCATCTATGCACCAAGTTTCATCAAAAACCGATGTATGGTTCTTGAGATAGCAGTGGAACAGTCGGACACACATACACACATACACCCATACACACACACAGACACACTAACTGCAAAGACTCCCATTATGTGCTTCGCACATGGGAGTCAAAAACATATACCACGCATTCAAGCGAAATTTAGACTAGTCATATAAAAAATTACGTCTATTCCGAAAGAACAGCTGACGGAACATAACATGGGCAGAATCATGAATTATATCGACATGATTTCTCAACTTGACCCTTTTCCGTGTTCATTTTTTTTGAAACGGCGGGCAATCGTGTCTGTGGACATGTTCCAGTCGATCAGCCGGCAGTGGAAGTGCAAAGATACTACACAACCAACATAAATTTTACCGTGAATTTATTGCATAGCCCGCTTGGTGTGAACCATTTCAATATTCTCCGCGGTCCTTCAAATGGTATGGAGCTGTTTAGCAGTAGATGGTCAGCCTTAAGTTGGAGAAGGCGACACTGTTGTGGTGGACAATTGTGGTTTTCGTCGCGGTAATTTCACCGAACCCATTCTCCGTGAGATGCTCGATGCCAGACAGGTCACTCTTGTTTCAGCCTCCATATAGCCCAGAATTTAATACCTGCAAGCTTTGTTTGTGTTGATTGACTGCCGTGTCTTGTTCAATATGTTGATGCAACAAAATATACAGGCTTGGCGCACAGGCCTGTGCTGAATTTGGTACATTTGGCTTGGGTAAGAAAGATGTGGCAATCGATATACGATTCAGAGCACACACGCAAGTCCAACCTTTCGATTTCCAGTTAGCTTCCTGGCGACACAACTATTGTCGGTCATAAGGATAAATTGTGGCGGCACAATCAAGTTATTGGTTCAATTTATTCTTATTAATCAATACTAATGAACATTTCATAAGCTACTTAATAATAAACAAAACAAGCACACTGAGAGAAATAGCGGTGTGTTAAGTTGAGTCCACATTGAGTCGAGAGGCGCCCCTCTTAAAAATGAGTTGTTCCGAGGAGGTCAAGTAAGATAACATTCTTTAGACGCGTACACCAAAGCAGTCAGCAACTAGCTGGCAATGTTGCTGTTTTGGTGTTCGGAACAATATGGCAATGACAGTAATTTCCAAGACAATGTGTACTGAGAAAGCCTAGCTTCCAACTGATATAGTTGTCTACTAGAGTCCATGCATTAAACATAGCCCATATATAATGTATGGAAAAGTGAAAAAAAAAAAAAAAATCCACACAAAAAAAAAAATCATAACTTCCACAAAAATGGAGATATCTTCACCAAACAAACAAACAAACTTGGGAGAGGACCAGCCCATGTGTCGACTATATGAATCAGAAAAAATGTGCAAAAATAAGGGAAAAAATGCACTAAAAATAGACACTTGCATATGGTGCCATGAAAATAATCAATGTGTAATCCGCGTCAACAATATCATGTCAAATTTCAAAGCAATCTTACAAGCCGTTGTGGAAAAATCATT